GCTAGTTTCAATTGGCTTATTCCACAGGGAGAAGGGGGAAGTGTGTGTGTGCTGGAAGACACCAAGCATATCCTATTTCAGGATAAGGGAAAGAGAACAACCCTTATAACAGATTACAAAAATTTCTATCACTCTTTAACAAAATTAGCTTAACAGGCCCCAGAAGCAGGTGGGGTACTCAATAAAAACATACTGAGTGGAGTATTTCTCTCAAAGTGCAAGAGTATCTCCATTATTGTATCAGCAGAAGACATTACGTCCTTACAAACATTATTGAGCATAATTGCTATATAGACAGTGGGTTCTTCATCCATGTTTTTTGTACCAGTATTTTTTTGTTTTGTTTTGTTTTTAGTTAACAGGCTGTGGGTCTGAATTTTCTAGGCCAAAATTTTACATGCTGATGCTGGGTACGACTCCCCTTTAAATGACAATTTCATATGCTGTATCTTAGAGAAAATTCTGTCAGGCCACAAACTTCTAGTTTTTATTAGGCTTCTGAATATGTCTGAATAAAGCAGGAACTAATTACTGGGTGGGCAGCATGACCTTCATGCAGGCTCCTCACTGTTAGTGCTGCATTTTAATACTGCCGCGAGAAGCAGAGTGCTGCAGGGACAGCGCTCCAAAATATAAATATTTCAAACGGCACAAAACAGGCTAAAAACACAGGCTAAGTTGTATTCAGCTCCCCTTTTGCTGAACTTACTTAAATACCTCCTGAAGTTGCTTTCTGCTAGTTGTGCCATATACAAGTAACGTTCTCATTTGCACCCCATCCATCCACCACTGTCAGCACCACGGGAAGAGGAAGGTTCTCTTCCTCTTTTGTTGATGACTTGTTTAAGAGCTGTGAGTGGAGACTAGCCTCAACATATACCTGGCCCTGGTAAATATGTTGTCAGAACTAATGGCTCAGTATTAAATACTGTAAGGCTAAAAATATTTCTGGTAGTTTCAATCGGCTTCTACCCAATAACAATACTATAGACTAATTCATTTACTCACTTGGGTAATGTTTTATAAGTAGGTCATATAGACAGAGTCAGCTTTTGGCTATGACTTTCCAACCAAGATATTCTATTTTATCTAGATGTTTGTGTATGTATGTTGGACAAATGTTCATATCTAAGAAACCAAATAATCACTTGTACATGCTATACTTAGGATTTCAAACCCAAATGCCTCCGGGAACAAGCGGTGGGCCATATGTAAGAGAGTAGGGAGCAATGTGTTAAATGGAGAGCACACACCCATCTAAAAGTAGAGGCCACTGTCCAGGTCCGGCTGACTGCTGATGGAACGTCTGTTTGTGGGCCGGAGCAGACATACAACAGGTTCTTGATGAAGGTGGGGGGCTGTTGCAACACTGCTTTGGAGGTCATATTTCTAGGTGATGATTTTGATGACTTCTAAGTTCACATAAAAGGAATGTAATCACACCACCTGTTCCTTTGGTTTCTAAATAACAGGGATCCTATTTGGTCAATGCCTCATAAGTTCTACTTTCGGTGCTTGTCAGAGAATGCAGTTACAAATTATCGTGGACTGGTTTGCAATTCTCTCACCCATCCACCAAAACAAAATAAAATCAAACTACAGAAAAAGGTAGTATTTACGAGGCATGTTCTCTCTCCATGTATTCATCAGGCTAGTATTTTCAAAACTCACACGTTCTCGAGTTCTGTGTATTTTCAAATTGTATGTTTTCACTTTAAAGTTTATCTTAAAAAGAAAAACAGCCTAAGCATATGGAGCATGTGGATGGCAGCATAGGAACTGAGTGCTGAAGTGCATAATCCATTTCTGCATGTGGGGTCAGTCATGTTAACGTTCCACCCACGGTCTCCTGAACTGGGGATCTATCTCACCATGTTAGCAAGTCTGCAAAATTGAGAAACAATGTTCCAGGCACCTAGGGTCTAGCTGTGTCAATCTGACCTTTTGGAACTGAGTTGCATTTTAATATTTTGCCTTTGCTTTTTATTAAGAACCATCCCAGGAAACCCGTTTCTGCATTTGTGGTGTTGACGCAATGAATCACATGATCAACTTCATCATCAATGTGATGAAACTCATTCCTTTCCATGTGAAAAATCTCTATTAGAGAGACAGTCGTCCTGTCCAGCAGGCTTTTTTCTCTCTGAAAATAAGAATTGCATATTTGACCATATCTCCTTTTTCACTTTGCTGGCCAGAAAACTGGGGGCCTAATTTAACACTTAACTCCAGCAACCACATAGGCATTTATGGCCTGCACACCTGTGGGTGCTTTCTGTTTGATTTTTCACTTTCAACTTTTACTTACAATTCTATGGCCATGATTCTCCTTTCTCATATTTTACCACTATGTTACTGAATCTGTTCTCACTGTAAAGTTTCCTCAAATCCTCTGTGGATAAGCAAGTGTTTTTATACATATAAAATTGACCTCTGCTTTTCTAAGTGATGATAATGAACCTTTGATATACAAGATCTTCTAATGGTGACCTTATAATAGCAGTGAGATTCTTCCAGGACACTAGCTGGTAAGTATATTTTTATATGTATACACAAACATACTCATATATCAATATATATGTGTGTATGAGGATGTATGTATACGTCAAAAGAAGTAAAATGCAGACTGAGGCAGAATGTTCTTAACAATATTCTGTAGGATTATGAATCTTCACAGTATTAGTTTCTGGTCTACTCTACAGGTGAATGACTGATATATCAACAGAGACGCTTCAGCAGGATTAGGAAGAAAGCAAAGATCACTCAACAAGTTTGTGGTGGCAAGAAAGAAGCAACCACCAGAAATGTAGTGACTATGTTTTGTCCATTCAATATCTTCTCATGACAGATGGTAAATCCTATTCCAGAAGTCTGAGTTCTATCATAAGTGGCAATAAACGAGGACAGGCCCTGAAGGTTGATCCCAAGGCTGTTAAGGTGGATGTGCGGCTTTTAGTAGTTTGAGACATTTCAGACTGGAGCAAGACATAAAGTCACTGTTCTGTTAAGAAAGGCATGCCCCCTGGGTATCTAGATCCAAGAATCAAGGAGAGAAGGAGGGCACTCCGGTTCCTACCTATAGGAAACACCAGCAAATCTTTCTACTAGAGATGATATTTTCAGGGGACAAATAACTTCAGATTAAAGTGTAGGGCAATAAAAGATGGTGGATTCTTACAAAGTAACCCATCTATGGGCTAACATTTAATAGACATCTCTTGAGGGAACTAAGATCATATGAATTAGATCATTCACTGGCTCATGCAACAAAATCTACATGTCCTCTGTGAGGTGGATAATAGGGTGATATCCACAGACACAAGGATGAATGCGACAGACTCCTGTCCTGCAGTAGTTCACATTCTGGAGCAAGAGACAGGCATGAGTGTAAGTATTTTCTGAGTGATGAGTACTGGATGAAGTATATGTGAGATGCTGGAAACCCAGGCAAGCAGTGACTATTTCTGTCTCCAGTGGTATAAGTTAAGAATTCACAGACTCTCACCTATAATACATTAAACTGCAGCAGTTCCAGAGAAAAGGTCTGCTTGGCCATTTGCTTGTGTTTAATGGATGTTATTACTGGCTAAATACTGACTGGGGTTGGGAGAAGCACCGAGAGGAGATTTAAGTGCACAGAACTTTTTCATCCCCCTTTCCTGTACACTTGTATTTATAAGGTCTGTAAGTCAGGGAGCTCAACCTTACCATCTCTATCCCCCACCTCCAACGTTCAGAACTGTGCCTCTGGATGTGAACAGAAAGTCTGCATATAGAATACGAAAGACTATTTGCATCTGAGGCAAAATTCCAGGTGGTTCACCTATAATACCTTATTTAATTTACTGTTACTCAGTCCATTTTACAGATGTGGAAACTGAGGCCCAGGAAGACCAAGAAGCTTCCTCAAAGTTAACACAGCTAGTGAGTGGAGGGCCCAATTTTCAAACTGAGGTCATTTGGTTCTAGTCTGTGTCCTTTCTTAACCATAAAGACATACTGCAAGTGTTTCTTCAAAGCAAAAACAAACAATAAAAAACAACATGTGGCCATGGGCCTAAAAATCCCAGGATGCAATTAAATAGGACTCAACTGTAACAGAACCTTTCTTGCCTTGGGAGGAGGGCAGGAAGCCTTCTCACATCTGAATTCTTACAGGAAGTATTTCTGTATGTGTAATTTTGTTGTATTTGTCCAAATCCATCTCCCTGGGTGTACATGTATTGACTAAATAATGCTCTGTATGGTTAATGGCATGTAACTTGAGTTTCATTATTTTTTGTTAGTGAAAATTCAGGTGGGGAAGCATGTTGTAGGTTCTCCTTCCTTCTAGCATCTAAACTCAATAAACATCTAGTCACCAAACACCAAACCCTCCCATATAAAGTGAAAGGGAGAGGCAGGTTCTGTTGGGAGGAATCTCGTGACCCAGGAATCCTTTATCAGGGCCACACATGGGTCAAGCCTAAAGCAGGCTGCTATCAGTGACCAACCATTGGTCAAAGATGTCCTCTCCACTGCCTCTCAGCCTTTTGGCTAAGATCAGGTGCAAAGATGTTCTAAGTAGAAAAATGCTAAACAAGATGAGCAACGTTTTTACCATTCCCAAGTGTGGCAGGCCCAGTGCAGTTTTAGGCAGGTCACCTGACAGCCACGGGACCAGTTACTGAGTGACAGCAGGAGGACTGTCATAGGCTCCAGGATCCTTTTTCTAAAATCCCTAAGTTTTAGAAACTCTGCAACACAGCAAAGTATGACAGCCACATGCAATCTGCTATTACATTTCTAGAATCCTCTTTCTGATGGGTGGAATGATGGTTCCTGACCTAACTTTCCTTACTGCACTGTGGATCTTAAGTAAAGCTTTTTGAGTGCCCTTCAGCAAGTCCCTCAGGGTAATCTCTGCTTTGTAAAAGGCAGACGCAGCTAAAGTGAACCCTCCCCTCCTCCTCCTCTTGCACAAATGTACACTCTCTGAGAACAAGAGAAACCCCACGTACCATTAACACATTCAAAGACATCACAGCACTTTCCAGGTGTCCCATCGCCACGAGAGACTATGCGGGGGGTGGATCCCACCTCACACATGGGGAAACCACATAAGCCAGAGAGACACTCGCATCTGAAACCAAAGAAAAGGGAAGGAAAACCCCATGAATAAACAACAACATAGAAGTCGGGAGACCACAAACAACGTGGCAGTGGCTGTGGCAAAGTACCTGGTCTATACCACACTGCCTCCTTTATCTGGCGTCACTGGGAAATGGGAAGGCAGGAGGGGTTCTAACATAATTGGCTTTCAAATAACTAAGGCTTGTCTCCTTTATATACAACCCAATTTTTAACTTTTATTTTGTCAGAAATATTTCTAAAATGCATTACCTCATTTCTTACTTAACCAGGCTGGTATTGAGTGTAACACACATTTTCGGGCAGACTGAGGGACATCTTCACATGTATCTGTTATGCTCTTCTGTGAATCGATGCTTGCACAGGCTAATACACAGTGAGTGTTCCTGTGTTAAATGGCCCCATGTTGTTGCTCCTTTGCTGCAATTGATGTTTAGGTGTTTTTCAGAGGTTTTCTGACTCCTGGTTCAATAATTAAGTTATTAGCTTTTTAGTATTTTGTCAGTGTGACTGTTTCAAGTCCACTCTCACCTTGAGCAATATTTAATTTATGATTGTGCACAATAAAAGAAACGAACTGAAGACTGGGGAGCTTTTTATAAAGAGAGGGCCTAAGTTGTAGTAAGTGAACTTTTTGACAGCTATCTTGGAAGCTGAAAGTCTTAATTTTCTGGATCTCAAGCTGCCACCTGAGCATTGATCTCTGCACGCATGAATGGGGTGTTCAATGAGCTGCAAGCTGGCGGTTCTGGCTCTCACCCCTAACTTCAATGCTGCTGCAAAAATTGCTAAACACAGAAGCCTGGAAGATGTGGGCAGGTGAAATAAGAGGAGACAAAATGCTGTTATTTGCTACAACGAAAGAGAGGCAGGACATAAGAAACTCAGAGCAGCTGAGTGTCAGTATGTGAATGTAAGATGAAAGAGAGGCTAGATTTCTGCCCTGGGACTCCCCTGGGGAGAGATGCATGGGTCAGAGGGTGGAGAGGATGACAGCTAGAGTTCCCAGGTTGACAGGAGTAAAAGGAAGGCATCCTAAAAAAAAAGACATCCTGGAAGGAAGTATGTGGGTATTTATGTACGGTAGAGGTCAAGATCAGGGGAGGCAACATTCCCAGCAGGGAGAACTATTAACACATTCATTAATTGTGCTTTCTCCGCCCACCCCCCCTTCTTAAGTACTTGGTTTGTTCACCTATTGTTCTTTGGATCTTTAATAAATTAAAATATGCTTATAATCAGGCCCAGAGATTTAATTACATTTATAATTACCCATGGAACTAGAAAAGAAATGACTTTAGGTTAAGATTTGCATCTGTGGCTTTAAACCCCCGACTATCACCCCAAGGCAGGCTCTTTCAGGATTCTTTCATGTGGGGTGACGGTTATACTGGATTCCTGGGAGAAGGGGTAGGTCATTCAGGTTTTGCTGCAATGGTATTTCTACCAACGGTTTAAAGGTTTGTCTGTTTTATGGGAGCAGAGCTTGGAACTCTCAATTCATAGTCTATATTAATGCAGGACAATCACTTTCTAAGGCTGAGTACATGTGAGCTGGGCTTTTAGTGCCTGATAAGGTCATCCCATACTTTTTCATGCTTATATGCCTAGCCATTGCAGTTGTAAGCACATAATCGTACTGCTGTGATATAACAGTAACATCATATTGTTTACATTTATTATACTTGGCACTCCATACAACTTAAAACTCTCTGGAGTTTACAGATGAATGGGGCTAGGGTACTGACAGGCCACACCCTGACCCCAATGTGTGGATGTGATTGCAATGAAAGCATCATGCAAGAATAGCTGATTAAATTTCTCTTACATATCTCCTGTGAGTCACATTCTTGCCTACAGGTGTGTTCCAGGAAATTATTCTAATCTAAACACCAGGGAGAGTACAGTCAACCAAAAAATACCTCTTCAGATATCGTTCTTCGACACTTGAGCAACCTTTACCGAACATGGATGTGCATTTATGTGCTAGGTTCCCTGCTAGGCTGTTAGGAGTCACACCACACTGAACACCATGACTAAGTCTGCCATTGAGTCGTTTTTTTCCCTTTTATGTTTGACCTATTTTCCCAACATTTAAGAAATTTAAAATTTTAAAAATACAGCCAGGTGTGGTGGCTCACGCCTGTAATCCCAGCACTTTGGGAGGCCCATGTGGGCAGATCACGAGGTCAGGAGATCAGACCATGTGGCTAACACAGTGAAAAGCCATCTCTACTAAAAATACAAAAAAATTGGGCGCGGTGGCACGCATCTGTAATCCCAGCTACTCAGGAGGCTGAGACAGGAGAATTGCTTGAACCTGTGAGGTGGAGGTTGCAGTGAGCCAAGATCACGCCACTGCACTCCAGCCTGGGTGACAGAGCAAGACTCTGTCTCAAAAAAAAAAAAAAAGAAAAAAAATTAAAAATACATTTAGGGAGTACAAGTGCAAGTTTCTTATAGCCATATATTGCATAGAAATGAAGTGTAAGCTTTTAGTGTACCTGTCACCCAAATAGTAAACATTATATGCATTATAACTTCCTATCATTTAAAAATTTCTATTGTTTTTTTTAGAGTCCCTTACTGATTGTCTCCAGCATGCAGTTGAAGATCTGATGCTGCACCCAACCACCTATTGACCCACCTAGGAAAGGAAAATGTTTTATGCTGAATCTTTACATCTAAACTGACTGTATAATAAAGATCCTGGTTTTGCTAGCTGGTGTGACCCCGGCTCCTGTCTCCTTATCTCCTTCCCTGCAAGCCCTTCCGATCTACCTGTTGCCATATTTTGACTTTTTACAGCTTCCCCTGAACCTGAAATTAGTATCTTAATGAAGAAAGAAAGAACCACAAAAGGTGAAAATCGAGGCTTAGGTCAGGTATCTATTGGGTAGCTATCTATTAGGTTAAAACCTTACTGAAACTGCCAATTTTGCAGGTTGAAATGGTCAAACAGCAATTCCTTAATGTTCAACATAAGACAACTCTCATGAGTTATTAACAGGTATGTTTACATTCACTCTGTCAGGTAAGAAAAGGGGACCCCACCATGACCCACATTTGCCCAGGAAGTCTGTTATATCTTCAAATGGTATTAGCCCAATGTAGTTTTAAAAAAATTCTTTATAGATTCTCTAGTTAACCCACACCGCAGGAGGTATTCTTCCCTTTTACCAATGGGAACAGGAGTTATACAACTTAGTCAATTGACCTGATTTTAAATAGGGCTTCCTGTTCTCTGTGTTTTCCACTAGAAGAGACTAGATTTTCCTCTACTGAGTCATGAAGAGGAAGTGCTGAACTACAGAAGAACTGACGCATGCAACCTGTACCCCATCCTCATCACATTCTTTCTCTTCATTTCAATTCTTTTTGTCCTCTCTAATCTTTCGCCTACCCTCTATCCCAATCTCTGGATAAGGAGCAAGCAAAGGAAAGGAGAATACAAAGGGGGCAGAGGAAACAGACTACCATGAGAAACACTGCAGTGAGCTGATTTCAACACTTACCCTCGTTTCTGAAGCCCTCTCCCCAGTTTCCAGTTCTAGTCTAATCTCCCCCTGCCCAAGTCTTTGTCTCTCCCAAACCATGCCACACCCATCCTAAGGCTTAGTTCCTGGTACTTCTTGCAGTCAAAATTTATCTTCTATTGCTCCTCATTTTATGTGTCACTTTCTCAGCCTAGCATTTGACACTGTGAAGTCCATATATTCCTTTTTTGATTCTGTTTCCCAGTGTTTCCCTTCACTTTTCAGTGCTACGGCCACGCTCTTTTCTCCAAATAAGCCCTCACTTTGCTGTCTGTGCACTGCCTGCCCTCATGGCCTCTGCACATTCCTCACCCAGCCCTTATGCCCAGCTGTCTTTCTAGGTCAACCTCAGATAAAACTCTGAACCCCCAAACACCACACTTTTCTTACAGCCCCCTCTTTCTCTATTTTGTGGTAACTTGAGGACTCATCTTAACATATGCTCTTTTAGTACCTACCATGTATAGTCACATAAATGTTTCTTAGGTGGAAGTGAATTGGAGATGAACAAGACAGGAATAACAATAACACAACAAAACAAAAATACAAAACAAAGTGAGAAGGAAAGCACTGGGATTTCTACTGTGAGCTCATAAAGGCCACCCCAGGCAGAGCTATTTGCATGACAAGTTAAGCAGAAGTGCTAAGGGTTTAAAAAACAAAAAACCAAAAAACAAAACAGCTTTATTGAGATATAATTCACTTACCATAACAATCATCCTTTTAAAGCATACAATTGAGTGGTTTTATATTCACGGGGCCATCACTAGTACCTAATTTCAGAACATTTTCATCACCTCAAAAAGAAACCCTGTACCCAATAGCAGTCACTCCCATTTCCCCTACCCCAAACCTTAGCAACCACTAATTTATGTTCTGTCTCTACGGACGTGCCAATTCTGGATAGTTCATATAAATGGAATCATACGATATGTGGGGTAAGAGCTTTTAACTTCAAAGAAGATGGAACCTGTATTTGCAAGTAGCCAGAAAAATCAAGCCTCTAAATGTAATCCTCAGTGTTAATATGATGATCGATCCAGGTACCACATTAATACATTTTTGCGTAACGTAGTTACACCTGCAGCCAGGTGGGACTTAGTTAAGCTGTCTTTTTTTTCTCAGGTAGGTAATGGATTCAAGCTCAGTGGGCACCTGAGAGCCTAGGTGCAATGATGAGCAGAACTCAGAAATCATGTAAACCCCTAGAGGGCACTCACCCGCTTAAGAGGTTCTGCTGGCTGAAGGGCGGTGAGTATACACTTATGCCTTCCCTTCATGTCCTTTGCTTCCTGGACTTCACAGACAACCCCAGGCAGGCCAGAGGTCAGTCTGAGCTCCTAGGCACAGCTTGCAAGTGCTCCCAAGTCTGCCTCTACCTGTTGGTTTCCATATTTACTGGTTCCTGCAGCACACACCTTACACTCCAGCAACAATGATGATCTGACTTCACTGAACCACCTGCCCCCACCCCTCATCACACCAGCCACAGCTCATGTCACCCAGCCTCAAATTCCTGCCTCTCCCTTGTCCCTGGTGAATTCCACGCAACCTTAAGACCACCTACCCTATGAGATCTTCTCTGGTCAAAAACCACAGGATTAATTTTCCACCCTCTGACTTTCAGCAGTACATAGGGGTACCTAACAAGTGTACTGGCTATCATACTAAATTAAAACCATACTGTTTCTCCTGTGAACTCCTCTAGTGCAGGGGCCATGTCTTACTTGTCTTATAAATAATAGTAAAAAAATGATAAAGGTACCCAAGCATAATCTGAAATAAATCTTTTCATGGATACTAAGTCAGGGGTTAGAGCATGTATTGTTATGTATTTATTTTTATTCATTTTAGACTGCAAGCTTATAGGTACGGTCCTTTTCAAAATTAGTATGTGGAAGGAAGGACTATGGAATTTGTTTAAAATGCAGATTCCAGGGTACCCACTCAAACTCTGTTTTGCTGCAAGTTTGGGGATGGCTCCAGAATCTGCCCATATAAAAGGCTCTCCATGAGATTCTGCTCATGTGAATCTGCAATCCACTTTCCAAGAACTTTGTGCCTAGATGTGCACAGCCTGGGTGGTCACAGTTTAATTTGTACTTTCCACTGGAAAAAAACAAGTATGACTAGTTTTAACATTATAATGAGAACGATGATTACCAGTACTTGTTCTTGAATACCACTGCTTAAGAGTGAGAGATACAAGAAAAGAACAGGAACATTAACAATTTATCCCATATTGTCACCCTGAAGAAAAATGTGTGACTCCTAGCAAGCGACTTAAACTCTTGGAGACTGTTTTCTCATCCATAAAGTGAGATAGTTGGATCACAATAAACCTTTCTCTAAATATAAAATCCTTTGATTCTATCATTGCCATTCCCACCCCCGACACTGCAGCTATCCGACCTCAGCTCATCCTCAGCTCATCCTCTGCCCCCTGTCCTTCCGGAAGGAACATCAGTCACCTCTCGTCCCTTACTCACCTGATCCTCCTCCTCTCCAAGCACCTCAACCCTCAGGCCCACCTCAAAATAGGGCCTGTGCACTGCTGACTTTTTGCTTTCTGTGGCGGGGGGTGGGGGGGCAGGCAGGGGGTGTAATAATTATGTAACTTTTTGTCCCCCCTACTAAAGAAGACTCCGAAAGCAAGGCCCAAAATGAAACAACATGCTACATGCTGATGTCTCCCTACCACTAAGCATGTTTTAGACCCTTCATAACTAAGTGGAAGGGTCAATAGTTTGTTTCACTACAATGACCAGAGAAACCTTAAAGGAGGGTAACCTATAGGAGATCCCTGGAGGAGGCCACAGGGGTAGGAGTCCTGTTTGCCCCTCCCACAGCCCTTTCAGCAAAGAGCAGGAGTGCCCCCAAACCCCCACCCCATCCCCCGAGAGGTATCGTCCTGGGGTGGGTGCCACCCAATGCTGATGTTATCCTAACATTCCCCACAGTAAGCTCCTTCTGCAGAGGAAGCAGCAAGCCATCACACTCCTCACCTTCCTCAGCAGACCCTGATCTTCCTCTTCCCATATCCTAGAGGAAAGCAAGCCAGTGAAGTCTTCTGGAAAAGATTTCTTCCAATAATGGATTTATTACACACCATAACTGAGGCCTTCAAAAGTGGAGACATCACTGTCTATAAATTAAAAACTGCTATTTACAGGTGGGTGGGAGGTTTCCCTTTGGTCAGGAAACAAGGATAAATGAGGAATGAAAAGGGCAAAGCACTTGTGCTACTAGGATTCTACGCAGTGTATTAATGAAATAGCTTGTCGGGAATGGAAATGATAATGACACATAAAACACAGGGCTATTCTATAAAAAGTAGCTTCAACTTTAATTAAATTCGATGTACTATCATTCTACTGATTAAATTTCTTACCTCTTTCCAGGAATGTGTAAGTTTAAAGAAGACTGCAAATAAAATATCCACAAAGAAACAGGTTTCCTATCTGAGGGTCCAACTCTTCTTATGGAAAACAGCAGTCCTCCCTATGAAAGTCCCTTAGGCCCACAGTTTTCCCATACCTCACCATAAGAGATTTACCATTCTGTATGTATGAATAACTAACCCTCCTGCACTCTTCCTCCCCTATCTCAAGCTTATTCCTGTGATTTCCTGGCCTTTCCACCCCCAGCACGGCCACTGAGCTATAACCAACCACAAGGGCAGCCCTGCTCTGGGCACCACACTCTCCCCCAACAGCCATCCCTCCCTCCCCTGTGTACAGCGAGCTATCACCTGCCAACCAGAAACTGCACCTTCTTCACCACTCTCCCTTCAGAAACCACCAGAATATCACTCTGCCTTTGTTGTTGTTGTTTTCATGTGTTTTTTTTTTTTTCTGGGGGGAGGAATCAAAGGACATGCTCCCATGTAGGGAAGGGATAAGCTAAAGACATTAGGTTTGGGTTCAGTGTATACTGCTCAGCTGATGGGTGCTCCAAATTCTCACAAATCGCTGCTGAAGAACTTACTCGTGTAACCAAATACCACCTGTTTCCCAAACACCTATGGAAATAAAACATTATAAAATAAATAAAAAATAAAATATTCCTTTGCCTCCCTACTATCTGCAATAATAATAAAGCCATCATTAAGCTCTTCTCTTCCTAGCTTCCTCCTCAAGGTTGGCCTGTGGCTTGGGAAGCTTATCTTAAGGTGCCAAGTTGAAAGAAAGGTGGTGTAAACTGCGGGGAAAAGAAAGATGGTGTAAACTGTTGTAAGTCTCCGAGGATCCTATAAGAAGTTAACAATTACCTTCTAGGACTCTGCCCCACAGCAAATAGATGTGATAGGGAGAAAACAATGGCATCTTTCACAAATTACTACCTAGATGTGACTGGCTGAAAAAAAAAGTCAGGGATAGTTTTGAAGGGACTCAACCCCAGTGGCAGGTCATGGGGGAGGGGACACAGCAGAAACACAGCTGAAAATAATCGCAGGGCTCCTGCCCCTGTTGAAATGTTAGAGCTGGGATCTGGCAGAAATCCTGGGCCACTCAGTCCAGCTCAACAATCTGATATCGCGTATCGAGAGCTGGCCAAGTCCCAGGAACGGAAGGCTCCCTGCCTTCACTTCCGCAGGTCTAGGGGGAAGACAATGGCATCTGCTTTCACGGCTGGTAGGATGGCTTTAGAGAGGAGGTCAGGATGGGAGTGAGGGCTGCATGAAGGACTAGTTAGGAAAAGTAGGCAGGCAAATTGGCACATCACACTGTAGAAAGGAGGAGAAGGGGGCTGGGACACGGAGAGAAAGTTTTAGTACAGCAACGTAAGTTCTTCCCACTTCAGAGCGGAATTGCCAACCGCCTCCGAGAAGAGACGCTCTGGAACAATGAATCAGCTTGTTTATGAACATGCAATGATTTTGTAGCTGTTTACTGACTGTATACGTGCAGTAGGCACGAAGCTGGGATGGGACTGGGGATACACAGGGTTCTGGTCCTAAGTTTAGGGATTTAGTTTAGGGAAGCTTCATGTATATATAACCATAAATGAGAACACAATGGGATGTTGACTATTCAATCTCCTTCCCAGAGCACACAAAGAACAAACCCCAAGGATGTTTGGACTAACCTTCTACTTGAAAATCTGAGCAAAGCCTCCACTGCCTGGCTGCTGACACTCTGAGGCCACCAGAGCCATCTGGGACCTGAGCTGGTGCTGAAACAGATGACTTGAAGCATGTATCCACTTGGATCCCTTCGGGCAGTCAATTCCCAGCCTCTCATCCTTGTCATCAGGGCAAAGTGAAAGACTGTATTGTCTCTCATCCTCCAAGGCATGCACATCTGCAGAGAGCACTGCTCTGCTTCTCAGGGACTTACCCTTCTGTGCCAACCTCTCTTCCAATTGACTCCTCTCCTTCCTCCAAACTTTCCTCTGCAGACAAACTCCCTGATCCTCTGATCATAACACACAATGCACCACTCAAATCTGTTTCTAACCTTTACCTGACTCTCCCCTAAAGCTTCTATTTCCTCATATCCATCTCCAGTGGGACTGAGAATCCCCCACTTACTACTCACTTATTCACCTGGGATGGAAAGGAGGTCAACATTCTCCAAGTGGACCGCTGGCTACTTCCAACATCGTTGCTTTCCTCTCTCATGCAAACATTCCCTTCCTATGACTGTCTCCTATCCAATGCCTTAGGGGGCAGAGGTTTGGGGAATGAACTTTGAAAGGCAGTTCTTAGGGTCAAGTTCTGGCCACTTAGGAACGATGTGATCTTGGATAAGTTGTGCAGTCTCTCTAAGCCTCAACTGTAGAATATGTACAGTGGGGACGATTAAAGTGCCCAGATGTCATATGATTGCTATGCGGATTAAATGAACTGATGAAAAGCAACCCAGGATAGTGCCTGGAACACAGAAGCACACAACGCCTGTTAGTTGTTTTATATGAATATAATTTGAGAGGCTTGAAGAGTCTATGTGGACCAAGTATTTTCAACACTCTGGCCTCACTTGATCATTTGGAATCCAGTGACCCTTGCTGCCCCCTCTACTTCGGTGACTCAGTCCTGCGGCCACAGCTCTCTGAACTCCCTGAAGTCACACATCCTATTTGCTGATTACGACGGTACATCCTTCCAGTTCTCCCTGGCCCGTGCTCTACCACACTGACACTTCAAACTCACTGATGCATCCACTCCCCAGATTGTGCCCTTTTCTCCACAGCCGGAACCTCCTCCTAACTGTACCTCGTTAGCAATGGAGCCCGGAACCCATGGTGTTTCACTTGAATCACCGTCTTCCTAACACCTTTACCTTTCCTGCCTCTTTATCCTCCTCCTGTATCTGTCCCCTTTACCCCAACCCCAACTTATTTAATCCCAGAGATGGCAAACCTGAACGTGTGCAGGAGTCAGGTAGGAATCCTAAGAGTCAAAGGGGACTGCAGATACCTCTAACCTCTAACCTCTGTGACCTCTAACAGGGCATCACTACTCATTTCAGGCTGAAGGGTAAACTCAATGAGGCCATACCTTCCATTTACTTAAGAGGAGCCAAATTTTTATGTGAAGTGTGCCGGTTTTTAAATATCGATGACTAATCTAAAAGTAGAAACAAAAGGCACATTAAAGAAAACATGTCAGCCCCAAGAACTACCAACTGTAAATTGTGATTCAACCCACTGACTTTCTCTGTGCTGATACTCAAGCTGTTGAGAGCTCCTAGAGAAAAGCTGGAGCTATTCTGTATCTTCTACACCGAAGTCCCCCATCATGCCTCACAGGCCACAGTTTATTCCTAATGATCACTTCTTCCATGTTGCCTTTTCTAACTAAAGGCACAAAGATAAACAGCTGATACTGTGTGTGTGTGTGTGTGTGTGAGTGTGCGCGCGCGCGCGCGTGCGCGCACACGCGTGTGGTGGTGGTGGTGTTGGTGGTGAGGGGTGTGAGTGGCACAGTTTGTGAAATGACCATCAAATGTGGGGGAGTGGGCACAGAGGAATGGCATTCCAAGTAGAGGAAAGAACACACTAAATTTACAAAGGCAAGAAAGAACACAGATACAGTGTGTTTCGTTTGAACTAACAGTTTAGCCCACCAGAAGTACATTATGTGCTAAGGGGAGGGCTGGGGCTACTATGGGGGTGCTGACAGGAGTCATGGCCAGAGAGGGAGGTCAGTGCTGAGTAATAAGGGGCTTTGCATACCATAGTAAGAAGCATCTTTATTTGTAAGCAACAGGAAAGTAATAAAACATCTTAAACAAGTAATGTAGTCTTGCAATGGGGGGGTTATCTCAGGAAAACCCAATACTGTCAGGAATTTCCTTTTTCTTGAATAATAAATGTAGGTGGAATGAGTGTTAATGTTTTTTTTTTTTGTTTTTTTTTTTTTTTGAACGGAGTTTACTCAATTTTCCCCAGGCGTAGTGCAATGGCGCGATCTCGGCTCACCGCAACCTCCCCCTCCTGGGTTCAGGCAATTCTCCTGCCTCAGCCTCCTGAGTAGCTGGGATTACAGGCACGCGCCACCATGCCCAGCTAATGTTTTGTATTTTTAGTAGAGACGGGGTTTCACCATGTTGACCAGGATGGTCTCGATCTCTTGACCTCGTGATCCACCCGCCTCGGCCTCCCAAAGTGCTGGGATTACAGGCTTGAGCCACCGCACCCGGCCCCGAGTGTTAATGTTTTAAGCCGCAGGACACATTACAAGCTGAAAAGTCAACAACAACAACAACAGCCTAGAAGAGCTTCTTTCTTTCTCCATCTGGTGAACTTGGGCTCATATAAGACTCAGTTCAAAAGTCAAATCTGACAGTTCTCTAAATGGGAATTAGCATGTCTTCACTCTGTGAACTTTTTGCTTTTGCATACTTCTACTTCCAAAGCACACAATGCTTTAACAATGACTTATACATATTTGCCTTCTCTTTAGAACATATGCTCCTAGACATCAGTGACTATGTTTTATTCCTGCTGGGCAGCCCAATGCCTGGCACATAACAAAAATGCCCAAAATATCTGTTCCCTGAACAATCCAAGAACACTATGGGGTTTTGATGCTAGGACTTCTGCTGCAGACTAATTGTCTATATAATTTAGTTAAAAGCATTCATTATTTACCCATGCTAGGCACTGATGAGAATGAAATATATAGGGTGGGTCCTTGCCTTCAAAGAATCCACAACCTAGTGTCTTAGGAATTATCATTAAAACGCTTCATGATCTAGCTATGGAAATCAAAGTCTCTGATCATTTTATCATAAGAGCCATGACATGTGACTTCCTCCTTTGTCAAAAGCAAAGTCAGGAAAAAATAATTTACAAAGTACTTGTCTGTGTGATACATTCACAACACACTGAGCAAGGCCAAGAGAAACCAGCTCTCTCTACCTCCTGGGTTCCAGTTAGCCATTAAATGTCTACCAGACAAATATAACCCTGAATTCTCTGCAAACTACAATGATGAGGAAGGAACCTAATAATCTATACCCAATGTAAACGTGTAAATGAAGAGTAAAATATGTTCCGTGATTTGGGTTGCTTTTGGTATTTTCATTAAAGGTAGGGCTTTAACATTTTAGACTTGCTTATTAGCTATGTCTGTAATTTCACAAAGCATTTTTGCACAGCTGTTCCGATCGGTTCTGTCTGTATATGCCATGATAATGATATAGCAAATGAGGGTGAGGAAAGACCTCTGAGTTTCAATATCATCATGCTGTGGATTCTGCTTTCAACTTTACTGAAAGGCTTACGGAATTCAGTTAAGTTACTTTCTCTCTGTCTGACTCAGAGGGCCAGGTATATACAGTGTCTGGTGATATCCATGACCACTCGGATTAAACAGGAAGTCACTGTCAGGACAGCCTTGCTTGTTTTCAGGACTAAGACAAACACAAAATAAGACTAGCCACTGGGTCAAATTCATGGTAAAACAAAAAAGCATAAGGCCCTAGTACAGGAAGGACATCACTCACACATCTGAAGTGAATTATTGACAAATCAAACACTCTACTAGGGAGATAGTTCATCTCCAGTGGGCAAGGACTTTACTTCTAGGAAAGCATATTTTCTTCAATCTGGGGTTGGTCCAATAATAACATGGAATTCCTACAATTATTTTGTTTTAAAAATAACAGAGTTTAATATAGACTCTGACTTTTTTAGTCATGAGTTGACTCGCTCTTTTGGCCCAAAAATTACTGTGACAGAGGGCAACAGAATAGATGTTCTTTTCTTAGTTGAGAAAGATGAGCTTCAAATACACTTGCAATTTTTTTTCTGTATGTGTTTAAAAACAGAGAGAATGCTACCATAATAGCATGTCAAGAGTCAGGAATGTTTCAAATTTCTGCCATGCTAATGCATATTTTACATATTATATAACTTTATTTTACTTACTCCCAGAAAGCAGCAGAGAAATTATTCAAATTAAAGGGAATAACAACAAGAAAAATGAATGGAATTATGGAAATTCATCTAAGATTGGTGTGTTTATCTACTAACACACCAATCTTAAAAAAAAAACAAATCAAACTGTTAAGTGCCATCTTCTTTGAGACACTATCTTAGAACAGATGGACATGATAATTAATGACAAGTCTCTTAATTTGATAAAGTCCTTTTGAAAATGCATATGCAGGGACAGTTAAAACTGGTTAGCTTGAGTAGGCATGATCTAAGCAACTTAATTTCATAGCACAATGGTAAAAGCACATGGATCTATAGGAAATATTACTTATGGCCTAAAAAACTGAGCACTGTCTCCAAGAAGAAAAAAAAAAGAAGTGGTTTCTGAGCTCTGAACATGACCCAGACTGTTTCAAAGTACCCTCAGGAAATTTCTGGCTTTGACGTATTTGTCGGGTTGGGTTGATGCGCCCCGTGTTGACAGTCCCTGACCCTTGTGTGATCCTCCCACCTCCCAACAAAAGGCTTTAACCCATAGAGCTATAAGTTGGAGCTCTGGAGATAAGAGTTGACAAACTCTGGAAAGCTCTATTACGGAAGGGTAAGTACTTCAGCACACAGAGCGCTAAAGGGCTCTTGATCCTGCTGCTCAGTCCATTTCTCAGAAGTAGACAGATGTTCCAGAGCAGAGGAATAAGAAAATCCCTCCCGTCCTACTAAGTTTTCAGGAGGAAGAGAAGGATAAGAGAAAACTGTCATCTGCTGTTCCATATGTATATGTGCTTTTTGAGGTCCTTGATTTCTTAGTTTAGATTTAAAGCTGCCATATTACTGTATAGTTTTTCTTAAATTTGGTTTTCATTGTTTGGTAGAAAGGATGTCTATTAATTGATTCTTTCCTTGAAGGCCGGTGACTGTGTGTGGGCGCATGTTGTGTGTTTCCTTCTTATTACCTTCAAAAACTTGGGAGCCTTTTTTTGAGACTGGTATTGGTCATACCTGTAAGATGTTAAGATCCTTTAGGCATGTGCCACATTTTACTCACCGCTATACCCCACACCAAGCCCAGTGTTCTGCCTTCCATGAGGTACTCAGTGAGTATTTAATTATTTAACTGTTTTAACCGATTACAGCATTTTTAAATCTGTACCTTGTTTCACTCACTGTAGCTATGTAGTTAGATTAATTTTGATTTAACTCAAGTGCTTCTGAAGGGAAGGGATAACCTGCCAAAGATTCCATTCTGCTGGTCTCATCCAGTATGAGTCAATTTCAGGCTGTAAATTCTGGAACCCCAGAAAACTTTTTCAAAGTATCTCTATCAATTCACAAGAAACAGTGTGCTAGCAATCTGCTAAGATTCTATTATCATAATGCAAGACAGTACCAACCAAATGAATTTTCTTGAGAGCACAATTTGAAATTGAAGCAGCTCAGTGCAAATATTTAGATGTTACAGAGAAAGCAAAGGACACTGATTGACCTTCACTTTGGTCATGGGCTGTATATCTGACATATCTTTCAGACACAATGGGACTATCATCCTTCCTTTCATCTTATTTCCTTTCCTGAAGTTATAGTGTTTGGAGCTGTGATGAAGGACAGGATATGAATAGGAAATTGTCTTCTAAGGTCAATGTTTTATGGGAGAGAAATAAAACTGAGGTTCAAACAAGGAAAAAAGGAACTTTGAGTAGATCTTTTTTCATTTTAAGAGATAGAGAAAGAAATGGTCCAATCACACAATTAGGAAGAGAGAACCTAAAACTTGTCCATGAATATAATTTTGTGTATGCACAATTAAGTATGAAATACAGAAAAGGGCAATATGGACATGGAGAAACTGAAGACAGAGAAGACACACATAGAGTCAGACCTCAGGGAAAGTGATGTGGCAACAGAAGGGGAGAAACAAGTGCAAATACGGGTCCAGGAGCCAGCAAGTAGCCATGCATGGGCTGATGCCATTCACACAGGTGAGCCTGTGGGGGCACCATGCATGGGCTGCGGCCATTCACGCAGATGAGCCTGTGGGGGCTCCATGCATGGGCTGATGCCATTCACGCAGGTGAGCCTGTGGGGGCACCATGCATGGGCTGATGCTATTCACACAGGTGAGCCTGTGGGGGCTCCATGCATGGGCTGATGCCATTCACGCAGGTGAGCCTGTGGGGGCACCATGCATGGGCTGATGCCATTAACGCAGGTGAGCCTGTTGGGGCACCAGGAACCATATACACATCACCCTCCCCAGCACATTTACCAAGGCAGGCTGACAGGCAGAGATATCAACATTCTATTAGAAAGCAGTTTAACAGAGTAAACTCTTATCTTGTGGAGTCAGCCTTTGGCCAGATATTCTCTGCTTCTGCAATGTAGGAACTATCTATTTATAGATGTAAAGGAAAAAAAAGGTAACTAGCAACAGTCAACTAACCATTGACCAAGCAGGCAATGTATTTTACTGAATT